TGTCTTTCCTGCCGGGAAGAAAATGGAAAACTCTTTAAGGATAAGAACATCCGGCCTTGAAGGGTAACTAAAAGACACCTCCTTAAATTCAATATTCCCGTTCACCTCGGTCATACATTTCCCATCTGTAGAGTCTTGAACTACAGTTGGTTTTTGCTTAATAATTTCCAATAATTTATATCCAACAACTTTCCCTCTGCTGAATGCTCCAAGATTCAAAAACAACTGACCCAAACTCCTATTATGATTATTTTAATTGTATTTCTGAAGAAACAGAATTACTATTATTATTATTAAAAAAAAGAAAAAAGCTTACATGCCACCAACAATGGCGGAGAACATTGTTGTAAATGCTTTTCCACCATCTGTCTGCCCATTCATAATAAATACACCCGCATACCAAAACACAAGAGCCCATGACATGCATGCGATTCCATATGTGCATCCCAATCCCAATCCTTTTGCCATTCCTTCTTTGTATCCCAATTTGAGAGTGTGCTGTATTGCATCTGAATATGAATCGAGTGCTTTGGTTTCTACCACATATGAATACACTGTTCTTATGAATCGAGTGCTTTGTATCCCAATTTAAGATTAGCAGATTATCTGTTCAGCGATGATGCCAGCATTGGCATAGGATTCACGGCTTTTGGAAATGAGACATGTAAGAGTATAAGCGTACAGTCCACCTGCAAATGCGATTCCGAGAATGATTGCGACACTTAGAAGAGCTAGCGTCCATAAAGAAACGAAACCAACCACCAATCCAGCCAAAAATGTCGAGAGATAATGGATAAAGTTTTCCACCTAATCAAAGGGGAACAGTTAGGTTTCTTTATCGAGATAGATGATTCAAAGTATGCTAATATGATTTCAACCAGATAAACATCATTCAACATTTCATTATAAAGAAATATACAAATCAACAGCAAATATTAATTAGAAAAAGCAAAAACAAACAAGTCGAAAATACCCTTTAGGTTAACAAGAGAGGTCGTCATTCCAAAAACATATGGAGAAGAAGAGAACAATCTCCATACCTGATTTAGGGAATAAAAGAATCTTTAAAAATTGAATGTAAGAGAAAGAAATCTAGGGCACATACATGAAGAAGAAGAAGAGAACAACCTTCGAACCTGATGCTTCCTCTGTTTTTGTTTTCCACATTCTGATGCTTCCAATCGTACCTTGAACCTCTGACTTTCGATCCCAAATCTGACTTGCAACCTTCGATTTTTGATCTTCAACCTCTAATTTGAGTCATATAATTTCGAATCTCAGAAAATTCGCCTTGCTACCTCCTATTTCTGATGAAAGAGGAGTTTCAAATATGAGAGAAAAACGAGGAGTCGCTGGCTCTAAATGGATTATGGTAGAGGGGACGTGAAGTGGGGCGATCTATACTGATTTCGATTAAGAGTGTAAGAACTTTTTGGAAATGAGGATTAGGTTTTTGGTGGAGGTGATGGATCGGGGAATTGAGGAAGCTGCGGATAAGACGAAGTCCCTAGGGCTTTTTCTTGCTAATTAGAAGAGGCGGGGTTTTAATTTTTGGGATCGAATAGGCGTGGGGTTAATTTTTGGTGATTTCATTTTCCCGCTTAAAACGCGTGTTTCACTAAAAAAAATTATAAAGCGACGCACTCACATGACACACATTTTATGTTAGGCGCCCTCCGTATTTTTTATTTTATTTTGTGACACTAATTTTATGGCACGCACAAATGCGCGTCCTAAATCCTTTAAATTTTAGGAGAGATGATATTATTTTTACATCACACACTTTTGCGTATCGTAAATCTATGCGTTTCATAAATTGTGTGTCATTAAAGACCTGTTTTCTAGTAGTGATCGGATTTTCTGGAGTTTTACAAATTATTACAAACAAAGATCTTATAAATTTTTTCATACAAATATGCTTATGAACTCACCTACATTCTATGTTGACGCTTTTCAAACGACTTGTATTCTCAGGGACCTAGTGAGCAGTTATTTGGGCTATGGATCTTGGATATTTGCTGTATTTTTGAAATATGATACACTATGTTATTTTTGTGTAATTTCATGAACTAGTACGACTTGTAAGCAATGTATGTTGGTATCTTTTATTTTATGATGTTTTGTTGCAATGTTTCATTCATATTCAAATGTTATGATACTACACAATGACGTCATCCGCCCCCGGACGTTTCTGCCATCCTGGTTCGGGGGTGTGACACGCAACAAGCCCGAGGAAGGTTTAGTATATATATTTATGTTATGTGTTACATTACATGTTTGTTGAATTATTATATGTATACCGGACTTCGGTCCGATGTCGGTCGGGGCCCGATGTAGTGGGCAACGCCCAATGTAAGCTATTATATGTATGGTATGTGGTAGTTTGGGGAGACTCACTAAGCTTCGTGCTTACAATTTTCAGTTTTGGTTCAGGTACTTCCGGTAGCAAACGGAAGAGCTCGGGATGACTACATGGCACACACCACAGTTTTCAGCGTGGGATGTTTTAGACTCTGATATGTTGACACATGGTTTTGATATAGTATTTTGATATGATGTTTGAGATATATGACTTGTAATTTTATTATGTAGTTTGATGAATTATGGGTTTTTCTTAAATAATTTAAAACGGAATTTTTGGACTATATTTTTGGGATGTTACATTAATTATCCTCAGTCCTTATTAGCAGCTCCAAATTCTAATTATCGAACCATGTGACCGAAGTCCATTTCCTTGATCATTTTTAGCACACTCTACTTAAGCTTCCTTCTTTCTCTTAGATCCTACAATAACATCGCAATGTGATCATCACAGCATGTATTAAGAATCTATGAATATGAACTTGTTAAGATAATGGATGTACCTAAAGTAGAGTCACACAATTTCACTTCACTATCTCTAAGATATTTTAGCTACTTTGGCCAGTTTCGCAACCAATGTCCCTTCAATTGGCAATAGAAATGTATGGACTCTTTGGGGTTAAGACATGGAACTATCTCAAAACTAGCCTTTCTCTTTACCATACGATTAAACTGTTTGACCTTGGCCAATCCCTTTCCATTTGTAAGAGAAATCTTTTCTTGACCACCATTGTCGAAGTCCATGGAAACTTTGGAATCAGACCCTTTAAGCATTTATGCTTCAGATGTGCTCTTCAGCATTTCTGCTTTAGCAACAATCAACATTTTCACCATTTCTCGAAGAAGATAAAACATTTTCACCTTGATTAGAGAGTGGAAGATCATCTTCAGATGATAGAGGAAAACCATTTCCAAAAGAATGAGAAAGACCATTATTCTCTAGACTTGACATCTATAATGGGAGAAAAGAGAATTCAAGTTAGCTAATTTTAAGGCTAGGATCCATATTATCGATTTGAACTTTGAAGAGGGATGTCATAATCAAATTCGAATCTATTTAAGGTAGGTAAGGCTTTTACCAATTTCAATCTTATGAAACTCCTAGATCTTATGAGATTCATTGAATCTTATATCAATAGTGTGCTTAATTTCGGATTATAGCATGCTACAAATAAGATGTGAATAACCATGCAAACGCGCTTGACAATCTCGATGTCATTTATCATCTCACATTGATGTGACGGTTAACTACACATGCTCCATCAACAATGATAATTTTCAAGATGTACATCATATCTCTTTATAGTCCCTATTATTATGACAGTTAACCATACACACTTCACCAACAACATGTAAAGCATGATGTGCATTTTCATAAATTAGCACACTATTCTCATTTTTCCTAAAGTAACTAAGAGTGAGGTTTTAAAATTAGTTTAGTTACTTTATATCATTATACTTTCTAATGGAATTATGTCATATCAAATCCGTTTGCCTACTGACCCTCCACTACACATGAGAGTGGTGGGTGAGAGTAGACACTCATTCAACGGCCATTTTGTAGGCCGCTTCCTT